ACGCTTTTAGAAAATAAAGGCACACAAGGGACAAGGAATAATTTATATCATCAGTCGTCGCATACATTGTTGAGCTTTGAGAAGTACAAACAGGCAGAGTGTGATTCTTTTAAGGGAGTACGCAGTCACGCACTATCTTAAATGAAAGATTCCTTCTATTAATATTACAAATGATTAATAAATTTAAGCAATGAGGAATTGGTAGTGATAAAGAATTTAGATAGTATGCATTAAGTCATTTCCTCAAACTTTAAAGTTATTATTGTTCCCAAAAAATCATAAACATTTTATTTTATTCAATCCTTGGAAATATTTTGGTATCAGTGAAGGAGGTTTTTTTTTTAATGGTTTGAGAGCTTCTTTTTCATGAATCATTTTATCTATTTTCAGGACTACATTCAAAATTTCTAATAAGGTGAAAATAAATTATTTATCACTTAAATCAATAATTATTAATATAAAAAATGATTTAATAATTAACGAGGTATGACAATTTCAATTTGTATTTTGAGTTAACATAAATAAATTTTATTTCTAAAATATGCTAAGTTGATATAAGAAAATTATTTTTAAAATGATGTATACGAAATAAAATATTTTATGTTATAAATAACTTATAATTAATAATACAAAATATATATTCTAAGACAGCTTTCAATTTTTTTTTTTCAAAAACAATCAAAACCTTATACTTTCAAATAATGATATGAATGCTTCGTTGAAGTTATATTTAGTAAAAAAAGAAAATATTTTAGCACACTAATTTTAGACCTTAAAAATATAGTAATCTAAGCTATAAGTAATAATCTCTTATACATTCCTTCCATGTGATTGTACACTTTTCCTCTTTTTTATTTTAATACACTCTTTTAATACACTTTTCCTCTTTTAAAATATAGCGATATTGGACATATTGGATTCTGTTTTTTTTTTAAATGTTTCATAAAATTATTTCTTAGAATTATGAGATTAATATTTCTCATGTTATAAGAGATAATTTTATCTCCTACATATACACAAAAGTATGTGGGCCCATGTGGGCCACATGAAAAGATGAGGGAGAAAAAAATATAGGTCTCATATACTTTTATGTGTGTGTTGAAAATAAAATTATCTACTATAAGTTTACATGAGAAACAAAAATCCCTGTAATTATTCAATAAAATGTAAATGTCTAAAAACTTGTTTGATGACTATTGTTTTGATAATAAATGATAAAAGTTGATATGTTCCGGTGACATATGATAATTTAAAGTGAGAATCATTTCATGAAAATAAAAATGAATAAAATGTTGTTTATTCTAAAAATAAATAAAAACATTTTGTAAAATAATAAAATTCAATCAACAAGTTTTATTTCCTAATAACAGAAAACTATTCTCTGTTGATTATTTTTATAAGTTTGCGTTCTTTACAGTTGTAAAACAATCATATATAGACAATTTTAATCATAAAAGTTGTCATAATTTTATTATAAAAAATAATTATATGAACGGAAAATTATATGAGAACCGTTGGACACCTTGTACGGTTATTTTTTTAAGTACAGCCAATCTTGTTTTTATTTTTACACCTATAATTTCACACTTATCTTTTATATCTATTATTATTTTTTAAACAAGATTAAATTATCTCACTTGGCTTGTCTTTCTCTTTTATCCCAAAAAATAAAATAAAATGATAAGCGTAAGGAGGAGTATAAAATTTTAGGTGTAGATAAAATATTTTCCATTGAAATGCGATAAAAGACATCTCACGAAGCAAATGATACTAAGAGAAGTCAATAAGAACTAAAAAGAAAAAAAGAAACAATGCAGCAAAAAAACTGAATCAAAAGAAAAAAAGTATAAAAAGCAAAAATATTGTTTTATAGTACTTAAGTGTCTCCATAATTGCTGAAGCAGACATGTTCACCCCCACAAATTGTAATTTATGTTAATATTTTTACGGAATTTTTTTTTAGACAGGCGGCTTTTATTTTTTTTACCCCCTTTTCTTTTGCCTGCTGATAGTGACAAACTGACATGTGCTAATATTATATATATTTTTTTGCATATTTTTAATAAATTATTAAGGCGATGTTATTTTCATCCAGAATAGTTCTTATGCGAACTACATATACAGTTGATTAAACGTCTTTAACACTTAAAATCGTTTTTTTAAATAGAATGTCTTTTGTATTTAAAATGAAAAATAATTTTATAAGTAAATTCTAATAATTCCAATAAGGATACTGTTAAATCTCTCTTCATTTTTCCTTCTTTTTTTCTGTTTTTCTATTAGCTTAAAAATAATTAACTCACTTAAATGTGTTATTTTGAATATTTTTTTTTGAAAATTACTTTTATATATTTTTAAACATATTTAGATGAGTTAAAAAAAATGAAGCACAAAAAAGGATTACTAGTTTTTAATCTCTTTTTTTTAAAAAAAAAATCTTAAATGAGATTGCGTAAACAAAAACTGTTAAAACTCATCCGGACAAGTCCAATGAGGATTGAATTCCCATCCAAGTTAATTTATAAGTTGCCAAAAAAATTAAAAACAGTACCTAATATGATTTGGCAAAAATAAATTTCGGTCATTCAAAAAATACAATTAATAATGATCATGAAAAGATTAATTACATTAAATTCATTTCTTTTATTAAATTTTATGCGACATCAATTTGAACCAGTTTAGTGTCATTTAATTTTAAATATTTGAAAGATAAAATCTATTTTAATTTTTTTTAAAAGAACTTTTTCAAAAAAAATACTTACTAATTAATGTAAATTGAGAAAATAAATATTCACGTGACTTAAGTGTGTTTGCATGTAAGTTTAGAAGAAAAAAGAAGTTAAAAGGGGAGGGGGGGGGGGGGGGGGGGGGCAGAATTATTTTAAAGGCTAGTAATTCCCACCTTTTAAAATAAGCGAAAGAATAAGTGGTTTTTAATATATTTTTTTAATATAAATACTTCTAGAAATCGATACTATTTTTTTTTTAAAGAGAATAAGTAATTATCTCTTTTAAGTCTATTTGAATGAACCAATTAGATATCTTAAATATTTGAAAGACGAAATTAATGTTATTTATTTATTTGGGAAATAAAAACAATAGCTTATATTAATTTAATGCATTCATAAGTAGGAGTGTAAATGAATCAAGTTATTTATGAACTATTTGAAAACAACACCTTATATATTTGTATCACTTAATAAATTATGTTTCTGTTTAGTGAATTGTAATTAATTGACTTTGGTGTTTTAATTTCTTTCGATTTTTTGTTTTATATTTTAGTATGAAAATGTCTAATAAAAAATAAATTAATAAACTTAAAATTATTTCAATATTAATTTCGCAAACGAAAATAATAATAAAGTTATAAACTAATTAGAAAACAAAGCTTAAACTTCATATTTTCAAACAAGACAAACCTAAATTTTAAATTTAAATAAATAAATAAGCTAAGGTATGTTTTTATTTTTTATTTATTTTTCAAGACAAATCCAAGCTTCAAGTATACTTCAAATATTTGACTTGACTCATACTAGTTTATGAACAAGGTTATATTTACAAATTTTTATAAAGGGTTTGTTTTTTCTGATATTACTTTAGATAACTTTATCTAATGTTCATCAAAACGACGTCGTTTTGGGACGGAAATCATGATATTTTTGTAATTTTAATTTATTTCAGGGTTATAATAGTCTTTATCACTCTAATTTTTTAATTTTTCAACCCAAAATGACGTCGTTTCGATGAACATTAGATAAAGTTATCTAAAGTAAGATCGGAAACTTTTTTCCGTTTTATAAAATACGTATAGTACATATTATTTATAATTTGAATATATAAACAAAAAATTTATATACTTGCAAGGCTATTGACATATGTGAAAATGTTCCATGCGCGCCGCCCGAGTTTTTATTTCCCCCACTCTCGGTTTGCCGCCTCGCCCATCCCAAATTAGGAAGCGGCAACCGCGTAGTCTCTACATCATTATATACTATTATACTATATAATATCAACAAATTGCCTTAATTTGTATTCCCTCTCAACAAGAAATTATAAAAATATATCTATTTTCGGCTCAACTTTGATCACATACACATTGTCTTTCCCCTGCTAAATAATTAGATTCTTTTACGATGATTCCTCTCCATGTTATTTTCATTTGTCTTTTAGTGGCTGAATAGCGCTAGTATGTGAATATTCATGAATATTATGAACAACACATATTTATTTGATACAACCAATAAAAAATATATTATAATAGCTTAAAAAGGACTTTATTGTTTTTTTAAATTTTAATATTAGAGTGATTAACTTATAGTAATTATAATAAGGGTTTGTTTTTTCTAAAGTTAGTTTAGATAACTTTATTTAATGTTCATCGAAACGACGTCGTTTTGTGGCGGAAATCAAGGTATTTTTGTAATTTTAATTTATTTCAGGGTTATAATAGTCTTTATCATTCTAATTTTTTAATTTTTCAACCCCAAAACGACGTCGTTTCGATGAACATTAGACAAAGTTGTCTAAAGTAACATTAAATACTTTTTTCTCTTATAATAATGACCAGTTTTACATTTGTTTGTATATAATAATTGGGCATTACTTTTCTGTAACTATGGTAGAGAAATAATGCCTACCACAGAAATATTCCTTTTTTTTTAAAAAATAACCCATCAATGCAAGAAAAAAAGTGAGACCCACTGAAAATACATTATGTGTGGCAGAAAACTCTTTGGATAGTAAATGCAGAAATAATTTTCTGATAATAATTCACATGATTTATTATTTTTATATCAATTTAAGGTGATATTTATATTTTTTTAAAAGTATATTGAATTTTTAATTTGTACCTTACGGAAAAATATGTAAGAGAAGTGAGGAATACGACTCCAAATGAAGATCTTGAGTTTATATACTCCATATAATCATACAATTGAGACTCCCATGTCCTGAAGCATCTTCTCTGCCAGCACTAGGCTCCTGAGAGTCTAGTTCCAGAGATGGTGGCTTCATCAGACAACTCCACAGTGAGTGGCACATTAGAAGATTTACTTGACCTCGAGCAGAATGGCCACAACAACAGGGCTCAGTGGGTGCTTAATACTCCACACCCACCATGCATTCTGCGTCAGGTCTTGGACAACATCAAGGACACCCTCTTACCTCATCCTACTAGAAACATTTTCTTCTCTCTCAGGAATCAACCTTCACCCAAACTAGTCTTCGTGTTGTTACAAGACTTGTTTCCCATCCTTGGTTCATTCCAAAACTACAATGTACAAAAGTTCAAGAGCGATTTCATGGCGGGTCTTACTCTTGCAAGCTTAGCCATTCCCCAGGTTCAGCTATAAACAAAAATATAGTCATATTTTTTTTTTAAGGTTACTCGTTTCTGCTGTCACTGAATATGAAAAAAGTTGCAACAAACCTATTAACACTAATATACGGAGTTATATCCTTGTAGAAATAAGTGTTGTTGTAAATTTTCTGATCAGAAACAAAAGAGCTATTAAAGTTTTTTTTTTTATTCTTCTTCTCATAAGCACTATATAATAAACCCAACTAATTAGTTGAAATAATGAGAAGGAGTAAATTAAGGATAATTAACACTGAAAAATTTATGATTCGCAATGCACTTGATTATAGTATTTGAATGTCATTTGATGAGAAGCAGAGCTACATGAGAGTGAGGCCTATTCCTAGTATATTATGTTCATCACTATTATAATGACGTTCTATTCATTGAATTAAAATGGATATGCTTTTGTCTTGCAGAGTATGGCAAATGCGACTTTGGCGCGGCTAAGTCCTGAATATGGCCTATGTAAGTTGTATAAATAGTGATATATTTTCTAAATGGGAAGGCACATTTATTCTAAAAATATCGTTAAGGTGAGGAATTATATTATATAAATAATAGAGCTTGATTTACTCAGATACAGGGATTGTCCCACCTCTTATTTATGCGTTGCTGGCGAGATCAAGGGAAATAGTGATAGGGCCCGTAGCGGTGGATTCACTGCTTCTTTCCTCAATGATTCAGACATTGAAAGATCCCATTCATGATTCTATTGCTTACACTCAGCTTATTCTCACCGCAACTTTCTTTGCGGGTATCTTTCAAGTTGCTTTCGGTCTCTTTAGGTAAGTGCCATCCTCTTATTCTTATTCCCACTGATGGTTTGATATGGTTTATGGATACAAGTGTTGAAGTTGACAACAATTAGTAGTCAGTTTCGCTTAAACATTTTTTTAGCTTCTCTTTTTTTTTTTTTTTTTCTTTAAAAGGGAAAACCAAACCATATGATTTTTCGTAAAAATTCTTAAAAAAAAAATAGTTATTTCAATGAAATAAAAAACATAAAAGTAATTTTTTTTATTTATTTATAAAAAGCTCCCAAAAGAAGCTTTCAGCTATCAGCTTTTACAACACACATGCCATTTGTGATCATTTTTACCTATCAAGTGTAGATCATATGGGTCTCATGCTCAAGTTATTAAAATTATTTATTTTTTCATATTTTAGAATATTGAATTTTTTAAAAATTATTTATTTATATCAGTAAGTATTTGATAAATAAAAATTAATTAATTTATAAATATGTTATTTATATATTGATATATTAATATATAGATATATTTATTTTTATTTTTAAGTACATTGAAATTAAGTATTTATCAATTTTTTAAAATTTGTCATTTTATTTTTAAAATAATATTAGTATTTATCTAAATTTTATTTAATAATATGAAAATTTATAATTATATATCATTTATATTAATTTTAACTTGAATTTAAAAAAATTAAATTAAAAAAGTTATATAGTCTCCGAATAATTTGAGCTTTATTTTTAAAATTTTTATTTTTAATTTTAACTTTTAAGTTAAAAAAAAGTCAAACAGAGTATAGACATAATGAAAGTTGATAATCATCTTCACAAGAATCATTTTAATATCAAATTAAAGTAAGTAAATAAATAAACGAATGATATGGATTCAACTAATTAATGATTAAGATTCCGGTACTAAAATTTCACTATAATTACCAATTATGGTAAAATACCCGTTTGTTTATATTTATTTAAGAAACTTTTTTTTTCCATTAAAACATATGCTTAAAAAGTTTTATTATAATTAGATAATAATTATAAGTCTTTTGAAAACGAACATGTGTTGCTTGGAGTGGAAGAAACTGAATCTCTTAAGCATACATAAGTTTGATCTTAGGATTATGTATATGAAAAGCAAATTTTTGGAGTGGGTCCGCGCTTTCTAAACCTGACCGTATTCTGGAATATTAATTTTTCATTTTATGAATGAGAATATTAAGGGAAACCAAAAAAAAAATTAAAATAAGTCTTTTGAAAACAAAAGCGAAAATTCCAAAAAAAATAAAATAGTTTTAATATTTTTCTCAAAAGTTAGAGCGAATAGTCTTTGAAAAAAAAAAAAAAAAAAACTCTAGAAGAATCTATACCATAAAATTGTTTTTTGTTTTTGTTTTCCTTCAAAACTTGTCCGCATGCACCTATTGTCAATAGTTCTTTACTAATGTTTCATTACTTTTTTTCAAGGTAAGTAGATTATGTATTGTAATTCAATCCCCTTTCTCACATAAAAAATAATGTATTAAGATTAAAATAATATAATTCTCATGGTTATTACATTAATCAAAACCCATTACGTTTTGTGAAAGTCATTGACTCCTTAAATGATTAAGTGCCTATTTGAGAGATCTTTTGTTTAGCTCATATTTTCCTTCTAAGTAAAAATTAAGGCCAAACAAGCGTTTCCAAAAGCTCTTATAACAAAAGAAGAGCTTTAAAAAGTCAAAAGCTCTTAAAGGAGTTTTTTTTGAAGTTGTATCAGTTTTTCTTGAAATAAATGTTTTTTTTTATGGGTTTGTTTTTTCTAAAGTTACTTTAGATAACTTTATCTAATGTTTGTCGAAACGACGTCGTTTTGGAGCGAAAATCATGGTATATTTGTAATTTTAATTTATTTCAGGGTTATAATAGTCTTTATCATTCTAATTTTTTAATTTTTCAACTTCAAAACGACGTCGTTTTAGTGAACATTAGATAAAATTATCTAAAGTAACATTAGATACTTTTTTCCCTTTTTTTATTTTTGAAATGAATAGTTTTTAAGCTAAATTTTTTATATAATCATAAAAAAACTTGTAGCTTTTTTTAAAATTTTTTTTACCTTTAGCTTAAAAGTAGCTTTAAACTTGAAAAAAAGAGATACCAAACAAGCTCTAACTATCTATAGTTAACAATTCCTAAGTTCAATTATCAGAGGTTTTGTTGTTTGGATTTCATCTCTCAATGTATCACTCAATTTCTGAAGCATATGAGTACCTACATATAGCACGCAATAATAATATTATAATTGAATAAAAAATGGTAATTTTAATCAACAATTATTAATCTAAATGGTAAGAAGCTTATGTCTCTTTATATGTAAGAGTCTTGTTTCTAGTTTAATTTTGTATTTTAGTCTTTCTAAGCCTCCAACTCTTTGATTTTCTGATAAGGATAACGACTACTTGATTATTGCTGTGAATTTTGGGATTCGAATAAGGTTTTGGGTTTGGAAGTCGCTTTTTAAACTTCCCATTAAAGACTTGCACAATTTAATTCAAAATCTTGTAAAATGTACTTGAAAATTCAAATAAAATCATAAAATAGATAAAAATCTAAATAAAATTATTTAAAATTAAATAAGAATAGTAAAATTCGTATATTTGCTTATTAATTATGGCATGTCTCAGCATCTTTGTCTCATTTTACAGGCTTGGGTTTCTGGTGGATTATTTTTCCCATGCCACGATCGTGGGCTTCGTAGCAGCAACTGCCGTGAGCATTGGACTACAACAATTACAAGGGTTATTTGGTATCATCAAGTCCACCAATAAAACTGATTTAATTTCCGTGGTCAAAGTTATTTGGAGATTCTTCAAAGACCATGTAAGAAGGACTGTACCCAAGCAAAGCAAAACAGAACATTGAATTTGATTTTTATAGAACTCTCAGTTCATTAACTTTGCAAGTAAATTACTTTTTAATTTTCTTTCACTGACCTTTTTCAGTCAGGGTGGCATCCTTACAATTTTATTCTTGGATTCTCATTTCTCTGTTTCATCCTATTTACTAGGTTCCTGGTTAGTAACATTTTATTATTATTATTATTATTATTTTACGAGGAAGGTTATATTTACAAATTTTTTATTTACACTAAGTATAACCGGTCATACTTAGTGTAATTTGTAAAAAAAATTTGTAAACAGATCATTTCTTTTATTTTACTATAGTAATGTTAGAGGAAGCTAACTAATTATTCACTTGTGTTTCATTTTCTATCTGACTAAAATTAAACTATTCTTGGATATCCAAACAGGGGAGAAGGAACAAGAAACTCTTCAGGTTGTCATCCATTGCTCCTCTCATTTCAGTTATTGTATCATCAGTGATTGCATATGGAGCAAATGTTCATCATCAAGTGAAGGACTACAGAGTTGAAGTTGTAGGACCAATCAAAGGAGGTAGCTTGAATCCAAGCTCATTCTACCAGTTACAATTTGATGCCAAACTTTTGGGTCCTTTGATCAAAATTGGGTTGACAGTTGCTGTTATTTCACTCACGGTAGGGCTACCCTTGATTAATATTCAAACTATTTTTGTTAATTAATAATTAATCTTTGATTATGGGAGTGACATTTCTGTTGTACAATCATAGGAAGCTATTGCTGTTGGTCGATCATTTGCATCCTTAAGAGGTTACAATCTTGATCCCAACAGAGAAGTTGTATGTCTTGGCCTAATGAACATTGTTGGATCCTTCACTTCTTGCTATGTTGCTACAGGTAAATTGCTATGTTGGTGTGGTGAATTTGACGCATTTTTGTTTCTGCAGAACAATTCAATTTTTTGGGTTGATGCCAAATTTAGAAAAGTGTTTGCTAATATATATATACACCATGAATAAACCATGCAGGTTCTATGCCACGCACTGCTCTAAATTATAATGCAGGGTCTGAAACAATGGTATCGAGCGTAGTGATGGCACTAACGGTCCTTGTGTCACTTAAGTTTTTCACAGGGCTCTTATATTTCACTCCAAAAGCGATCCTAGCAGCAATAATTCTTTCGACTGTACCAGGACTCATTGACCTTAACAAAGCATATGACATTTGGAAAGTTGATAAAATTGATTTCCTTGCTTGC